TACCACTTTGTTTGTAACTCTATATTGTCTGTATTGTGCTTGTGATATGTTGTAAAATGTTGTATGTCTGTTAATGTTTCCCTCCTTTTATCTTTAAAAAAAAAAAAAACTACTGTGATAAAATCAGCATGGTACCTGCAAAAAAACACAACTGAGAATCAGTGGAACAGATTAGAAGATTCAGAAAAAGCTCCAAACACACTCAGTCACCTCATCTTAGACAAAGAGGCCAAACATGTTTACCATAAGAAGGTCTCTCTAATAAATGGTGCTGGATAAATCTTGGAATAACCCAAATGCCCATCAACCAAGGAATGGATAAAAAGATGTGGTATTTTTTATACAATGGAAAACTACTCAGCAATACAGAAGGGTAAGCTTGAAACTTATAGGTAAATGAATGCAAGTTGAGACCATACTCATAAGTGAAATAACTCAGACTCACATGTGTAAACATTACATTGTCTCCCTAGTGTGAGAAACTGACTGAGAAAATAAGGCCTACAATGTACAACATATATTGTGACATGGGTAGAAATTGTTCAAAAGGAAACAGGATCTAGGATGGGGGAACGGACGGAAAGGGAAAGGGAAAAAAATGCAGGTCAGTTACACTATTAGTGTCTCTTAGCTCATTGAAAAGAAAGGTCTGTGCTAATATCAATTTGAAAAATTTTAATGCCTGTATCTTGTACTCTGAATAACTACTTTAAATATAAAAATATACAAGGTATTAACTATTGTTATTCTGCTATTATTCTGTTATGAAATTTTATCCTTTTTCCTAAAATAAAATAAATGGTGCTGGAAAAACTGGCTTTCCACATGGACCTTCCACATAGTCTAAAACTGGACCCATGTCTATCACCATACACTAAACTATGGATCAAAGATCTAAATATTAAAACAGAAATACTAAATCTACTGGAAGAGAAAGTACGTAGAAATCTTAAAGACATAAGTATAGGCAGAGAGTTCATGAATCAAACCCTGATTTTATGCGAAATATTACAAAGAAACAACAACTGGGATCTCATAGCATTAAAAAGCTTTTGCACAGCAAAAGAAACCACCAACGAAGTCAAAAGATGACTCAACATACTGGGAAACAATCTTTTGCAGTTGTTCCACAGACAAAGGACTAATATCTAGAATATATAACAAACTGAAAAACAACGTACCCCCTAAATTTAAAGACCCAATCCAAAAGTGAGCATCTGAGATGAATACACACTTCTCAGATGAACAAGTACAAATGGGCAAATAAATACACGAAAAAATGTTCAACAATGCTGAGATTCTATCTCATTCCAGAAAGAATAACTTTTATCAAGAAATCAACTAATAACAAATGCTAGTGGGGCTGTGTGGAAAAAGAACCTTCTCCACTGCTGGTAGACTGGTGTGATCACTGTGGAAATTTCTGAGTGTGGAGATTCCTTAAGAAACTACAACTAGAGGTTCCTTTTGACCTAGCTATTCCCCTTCTTAGCATCTTTCCAAAAGAATTAAAGGCATCATACCACAGACATATATGCACACTCAAGTTTACAGTAGCACAGTTTGTAATAGCTAAACCTTGGAAACAGCCCAAACACCCATCAACAGATGAATGGATAAAGATGTGACTGATGGAGAGAGAGCTACAGGGTCAGAGAGACCTTAGTTCTATGCCTTTCGCTGGCTCAGCATATCAAATTATCACTGTTTAGAGTATCATCATCTGGGCCCCAATTCATTCATTTACAAGATTGAAATCTGTAAGAAACTTACCCAAAGAATATATGATATTCTAAAAGAGACATGATTAAATAATTGAAAAGAAGTATTTTAGAGATAAACGTAATTCTTTCATAGAGAGAAAGAGTCACTATGATCTAAAGCTTCGGGAATCATAAAATAACTATGGCTATTAAAAGTGAGAAAAAGAAAAGTGCTGCCAGGAACAAAAACCATAAATAAGGTGTGGAAGCTTGAGAATTTGGGGACATCTACAGTCCAAGGCAGAATTATCTAAACTGAGGACAAAATTTAGGGAAAACAAATAAAAAAAAAGACAAAGTGCCCACTCATGGTGAGGGTCTGGGATGGTAGGGGAAGAAATAGGCTCCAAGACTCCACGTAGTCCAAGCCTAATCTACATTTTAAAATTTTGTCACATGTAATAGAAATAATGCATATAAACAATCACTAAGCTTTAAAATGTAACGCCTAGCATTTACATCCACTTAACCCTGTTTAGTAGATCTTTCCTTTCCAGTTGTACTCTACTATGTAAAGGATACAACTAAAACAAATTTCTGAAGAGACAAAACTATGAAAAAATTGTAACTTCTCATCTTGGCCCTTGTTCATTTACTTCTATCAAAAATATACCAAAGAAATTTGTCTATGTGTCAAAAAAGTTGTAAAACTAAAAAAAAAATACTTTTAATAAATTATGATACAGGGTACTTTGTAAAGATAACTGCTGAGAGTACTCAGGAGACTGAGACAGGAGGATCACCGTGAGTTCAAGGACAGCATACCTAGTGAGTTCAAGGCTACCCTGAACTACAAATTGAAATCCTGTATCAAAAATTATCTAAAGCGTCAGTATAGTTTAAAAAGTAAGTGTCATTCAAAGGTTCAGTCAGAAGAACGTAAATGCATAGAAAACAAAAATATCATCCCCTTGCTCCCCAAGAGAACTAGAATTGGCAGAAAAATGTCAACAATAAAATGAAAAAAGGTAGATAAATGAACAAATAAATTTATAATAAGATGTGATTCATAAATAGAAAAGAGAGTCTATGATGAACTTATGTTCTCTGCAGGTACTGGAAATATGCCTTTCAAGATTTTATTTTTTTAAATTCACTAATGCAAATCACACTCCCCTCTCTGCTCAGTGAAGCTTTAAGGAGGAGAATATTAATCTATATCCACAGTGATTAATGCTAAGAACGGGATAGCTTAACCATTTCACTCACCACCTCACATAATAATAAATATATTTTTTTGGTACCAGGAATTGAACTCACAACTTTGCGCTTACCAGGCAAACGCTTGTGCTACTGAGCTATATCCCCAGCCCCTCACACAATAATTTAAATCACTTAGGAAATTTTACTTCTCTTTTCAAAGACTCTTTGTGGAGTCTTTCACACATCTTAACAGGAAAATGATAAGAAAAATTAGTTGGGAAGTTGAATATTTAAATATGGCAAAACTCAAGTGATATTTTTAATCTTCTTTCATGAACTGCAAACGAAATTAATTCATATTACAAAAATCTGACTTAGCAAAATAACTAGTTTTGCTTTTAAAACTATTTTTTCTGCATTCATTTAGGTTAAATAATTTGAATATCAATGTCCTCTACTATAATATGGATGAATGTTTGGTTTCCAGTATTTCAAAAAATCAGATCCTTATATGTAACAAATTTTTAAGACTCTCTTCTCTGAGATATACATCTTATGTAACATCCTGTAAGCTCTATAGTACTTTAAAATATATACCTATATCAAAAAGGTTAACATACTGGGTATGTGCTCCTCACAAGTCCATGCATTAAAGGTTTGGTCTTCAACCAGTGGATTTATTGGGAGATTTTGAAAGCCATGGAGCTCGGTGGGAGATTTCTAGTCATTCAGAGTATGCTTCTAGGGGAAACTGAGAACTAGGTCCCTTCGCTCTGTTCTTGTTCATGTCCCAGCTATGAGGTGAGAAGCTCTGCTTCTCTGTGTGCTCCTCACAATGACAGCTGCCTCACCACAGGCCCAAAGGCCCAGAAGCCAATAGAACACAGACTTAAACCTGCAAAACTATGAGGCAAAATCCACCTTTACAGTTTATAAGCTGATTATCTTGGGAATACTGTAGCAGTAACAGAAAGCTAACAAACATAGTACCTAAACTAAAGATATATATTGATCTAGAAACAGCAGTTGGTATCAAGTCTTTAGATTCCTTCCAAAAACTCAATAATCCTTCAAAGATATAAGAGACACTGAGAGGGCACCATTAATTCAGAAGCCAGTTTAGCAAAGCTATAACACATTCAAGTTTATTTAGTGCTTCCTCATTTTCAACCAAGCTAACATACGAACCCTGAAAGAGGACAAGAGTAAAAATTCTCACTTTACAAATAAGATTGAAGTCTGGAGACTGACTGTTACACAGCTTAGCAACAAAAATGCTAATGAATGGCAGATCTAATATTTATTTCTAATTTAATGTTTTTATCCTTAAAACTTACTCATCTGATCATGGAATAGTTGTGAAATAATTTATATAAAATCAACCTCACATATATATTTCAATCAATAATGGAAAGAGAGGTAAATACATTCAAGTTATACCTATTTGGACCATCTAAAAGCTTGGCTACAGTTTTATACAATAATCATTTTTAGAGCATTAAAATAAATGGTAGAATGAGCTAAGGTAAGCTAAATTGGTAAGCATATTTTAGAAAGCGTTAAGAAGTAGAAATACAATAAATTTTGAAATACCATAAAATTTTTAAGATCTATTTTTAAAAAACTTTCATTTTGCACTTGTCATATTTAAACTTATTAATTCAGTGAATTCACTTGTCTCGTGAATTTCTTAGTGATTGTAAGAAGATCTGGTAAGTACCGTAATATGCTTGAACACCATTAATTAGTTATGGGGTAAATACTTCATTTTTAGAACATTAAAAAGGTGATATGCAAAAAAAGCAGTAAGTTTTAACTAAAGGTTACTAAAGGAACTAAAAAAAAGTCATGCAATTGGAGATGGAGTACATGCTTTAAAGCATATTACACTGGAGTTTAAAAGACAGTTATGACATTTTTAAGGTATGATATTAAAATGGTGTTTCTTTTGGCCTCATTCCAAGAACCATAAAGAAGCACATTAAAATGGTGATGAAATAAAATGCTTACAGGTTTGTATCTCAGGGCATCTCTGTAGGATCCAAACAAAGCAGCTTGTGCCCTAAGAAAGGCCCTAGCCACTCCATCACCCGTAGCTGTAGACTGCTTCCTCAGTTTATTTTTCAAGGCCGAGACCTGCATGACAGAGAGGAACAGTTAAATTAACACCTCAGAAATTGGTACAGCGAGGTACGAACCCAATCAGCAGGCAAACCACAGAGTCTGCAGGTCAGCCAAAAATTCATCCTCCTCCCTGATAGCTTATCTTTTTAACTGCGGAGAGCACCTGCTGGTCTGCTAATTGAAACGAAAGCAGGAGAGGATAGGAACGTGCTAATGCAAATTGGTTTATGCTCTCTTTTTTTCCCAAGGCCTCTTGACATAAATAAGCTTTAATTATTTTACAGTAAACTGCTTCTGAGCCACTTTTCTGCAGATTTTTTAGAAAATTACAACATGTGTCTACTTGTTCTGAAGTGAAGCTGGTTGGCTATCATTCATTTCTGCATGTAAGGTTATTTGTTATGGGTCCTCTGGGATTGCTTACTATTTTATTTTACTTTTGGAAGCCTCATTTGCATGTGTAATTTTCCAGTCAATAGTTTTGTCATTATTAGAAAAAAAAAGGGAGAAGAGACAAAGTTATTGAGGCCATACCATGAATAGGGAATTATGTTACGCAAATGTTATATACACTCTCAATTTCACAACTGGCTTCTAGGAAAACCACTGGTAATTCCATTAATGAATGAAGAAATAGAGGCACAAAGACATGCATTAAAATCACACATTCAAGCTTACATATCGCACGGTCTCTCTTGTATGAAAAACTCAATAGATAAATGAAGTGCAAAATACATAACAGGAAAAAAAGGAGAAAGAAAAACAGTTGCTGTAATTCAGCATGGACAAGGTATCTAAAAGTGTATCTTGATTTAATGTAATTGTCTAATGTGTTTTATTTTTTTTTGCCTATTGGTCTTGTTAATCTGTATATACGATAATTAACTTTGTAAGGAATTATAAATAAATTAATCTGATGTTGGCAAAATAAAAGGGGTTGGAAGGAAGGGGAAAAAGCAAAATTGAGGTATGTGATGTACATGTAAGAATTCCCTACAATGAATGTAATCATTACGTACTGCCAACATGTACTAATAAAAATTAAAAAATAAAAAAGACATGCATTAATCTATCCTCCCTATGAAACTAATAGAAGCAGTCTGTCCAGTTTCCTCCAATCCCACGTGCTGGGTCTGCGCTCAGTGTCACTGCCTCATAAACCAGTAACAAGAATAAAGTACGAGTGTTTTTAAAACAAAGAAAAACTTACCTAAGCATTTGTAAAACTTTAAAAAGCACTTTAATTTATCGTAATTTTTTCATACATAATCCAATTCATTTTCTTAAGAAAAACACAAGTTAATGAGACAAATACAAATTGAATGTTTAACAGAACATGTTCTTATCCATATGAAACTACCAAATAATAAAATAGTGTGATTTAGCCTTTACATATATATATGCAAAAAGAAATATTTTTATTTCCTTATACAAGCAGTCCTGACTACTCTTGTAGATGATGATTGTAATTGAAGTGCTAACCTAATTAACAACTAAACTTTGAATAATGCTAATGAGAAATGAACACAGCATCAGAGGAAAGACCAGCTCTACAGGTGATAAACCTGCACAGTAGTGACATTTTCCAGTGTAAAGTCACAGTTGCTGTGATCTGATCAAAGAAACAGACCCCCATTGGGTCCAATTATAACCATAGTTTTGAAAAAATTATTGAGTTATGATGTTCATAATCTATGCAGAAAGGCCTTTGCAGTATAGGTCTTTTCCCCATAGCTGTGATCTTTTCAATTTATATCCAAGCTCCATAGATTCTGATAAAAGTTTAGAGCCTAATTCATTTAGCCCACAAAGTGCATAAACCAGCATTCATTTTAAAAAGTTTTTATTATTAAAATCCAACTTGAAGAAATGCATGTTTTAAATAAATAAAATAAATCTCTAACTTAGTACTTTTTATTCTAGTTTTAAAAAGTTATTTTTTCCTAAGTTTCAAATGCCCTTAAAGAAAAAGCAATGGGGATGAATATCAATATATACAAATAGATTTATTATCGACTCCCCAATAAAAGGAACATGTATCCAATTTTTTAAAGTATTACTAAAAGGAAATGATTGAAGTTTCTGAACATTTTGCTGTAGAAAATAAAAATTACGTTTTAAAATATCATGCCTTGTATCTTGCAAAAAAAACCCCTCAAAGTATAGTTTTTAATAAAACAAACTCACAATTCAGTTCTGCAGAAATGAAGAACACAATGTTCTTCACGCAATCATAACACTTAGGGTCACAATAATAGAATCAAGTTAAAGCACTTTTCAGCCTTTATGATACCATGCTCTTGACTGCATAACTGCTGCTTGGGCCATCCAGGAATACGAATCACATTGTCACAACTGCTTCCTGACCAAATCACAAGTATGCAGCCTTCCTTTCCAAAAGCAGTCACTCGGTAATAGTTTCTGAACTCCTTGTGGATATGTAGAAAATAGGAAAGAAAATACTTGTCCTAGAATTGTACTGTCTAAAAAGGTAGCCAGCAGATACATGAGCAAATGAAATGTGCCTCCTCCAAATTCAGATTTGCTCTAAGTGTAAAATAAACACGTTTGACTTAGTACAAAAATACTCATAAATAATTTTCATACTGATAACATTTTGAAACAATACAGTGACTACAAAGTAAAATATACTATTAAATTTACTTCACCCATTTCTTTTAACTTTTAAATGAGACTACTAGAACAGTGCTATTCTATATAACCACATCATCTAATTTCATACAAATATGGGGTGTTAAAGTTTGGCAAGTGAGGAATATGGTTATATTTCTCCTTTGGCTATTTCTACATTATTTCAATTCACACACACTACATCAGAAATGTTTCTCCACGATCTATTCTGGGCTATCACTGTCAGTCGATTTCAGGTTGTGCCTGTTTTCAGAGACCAGCAGAGGAGCTGAGTTAACTGTTTTTATATGTAAAAATAAATGCTCAAAAATAGCCTGTAAAAATAAAACAATTTTTACAGATCAGTTTTAGACACAAGGAAATCGAATCTAATGTGAAATGACCGTGTCCACCTTGCTGCCTTCTTGGCCCTTGGGTCACTGGAGTAAGTTATTACTGTTACCACTGCCCTCCGCAGTACCAATTAGCATTTAGCAGATGGTATCTGCAAAATGAAGATGTTCTGTACTTCTCCAATATCGGGTCCACTTTAATTTCCAGGCTTCCACATTCGGCTATAAAATAAATGTACATCTTCCTGTGCAATTTTAAAGCTTATATTCGCGCCTGACTCAATTCAGAAAAGCACTTGGAACCTTAGTGATACGGCCAGTACAACACAATCCTCTTAATACTACGAAGTATCCACTGTTTTCTCTTTTTAAGAAAGTAAGCTAGTCCCAATCTCCAATTGCTAAAGATTCCTTCAAAGCTGACACTGTATTTTATTGTTTCTAGAAAGTTTTCAGACTGTAAATAATTTTAATCTAGTTAAGTATTACACTAGGCCAAGTAAAGTTAAATAGTAAAACCAGAAATAAACAACATTTCACTGCTCTTATCAAGTGTTTAAATTCCTTTCATGAAATGAGAATTTGGGCCCCTAAACAGTCATCCATGGAATTATAACCTAGGTTTAGCACAGTGGGAGTTTGCCGCAGCATGAATAATATTACCACAAGTTCTCTGCGTTTACCCTCTTAGCACTGAAGTGACTGTGAATCACAGGAAGGAATTACATGAGTACACAGAATAAATAGGTATAAATTAAGAGTGCAAGCCATGTACACACAGTCTAAGTAATGAAGGAATAATGCACACGAGGCATGTCAGAAAGGCAGAGGATGTAAAGGGGCTGTTTTTCAGAGCAAAACTGTATTTTTCTCTTACTCTTACTTCTTGATCCATTTCTGTAGTAAAGTAATTGCTGTACCTAAAACATTTAATTTTGGGGCTGGGAATTTAGCTCAGCAGCACAGCGCCTGCCTGGCAAGCGTGAGATCATGAGTTTGATTCCAGTACTGGAAAAAAACCAAACAAAACAAAACAAAACAAAAATTTAGTTTAATTTAATTTTTTTTTTTTCCGGTACCGGGAATCAAACTCACGACGTTGTGCTTGCCAGGCAGGCGCTATGCTGCTGAGCTAAATCCCCAGCCCCTTTAATTTTATTTTTAAGATCAAAAAGAGAAACATCAGGTTAAGAAAGAGAGGATAAAAATGACTGTTCAAAAGTAATACTCAGATAGTATTTAGATAACCTATACAATTTAAAATAGCCCTATTATGTTTGTCGTATCAGCACGTTTGCAGAGTATAACAATTACATTTGTGTGGGGAGTTGGTATATGTATGTACATAACACCTCTGTATTCTTTTTTTCATCCTCTACCTCTCCCATCCCTCTCTGCTCTATCTCTTGGTCCTCTTCCCATTTGCAAAATCCCTATTTCCATGTATTCCTTTCAATGTTTTTTTTAATCTCCTTTCCCTCCCCATTCCGTATCTTGATCCCCTTTGCAGTTAAGAAAGATCTCCCTATTTTCCATTATCTATCTTTCATTTTGCTCTTTATTTATATTTTGGGTTTCTCATGTAAGACTATGTGTGAACTATGTGATATTTAGGCTTGTGTATCTGATTTATTTCACTTAATATTATGGTCTCAAGCTGCATTTTTCCCACAAATGCCTCAAATTTATCCTTCTTTATGGTACAATAGTATCCACTGTGTATAAATAGCCCATTTTCTTTATTTATCCACTGATGAGCAAAGAAGTTGTTTCCAACATTTAGGTATTATAATTTATGCTGCTATAAACATGGGTATGCATATATCATGGTAATATGATAACTTTAACTCTTATAGGCAATAAATACATAAACATATCTTCAACATTACTGGTCATTAGAGAAATGCAAATTAAAACAACACTGAGATTCCATCCTACTCCAGAAAGAACAGCTACCATCAAGAAATCAAATAATAACAAATGCTGGTGAGGCCTCAGGGGAAAAGAAACCCTTCCACATTCTTGGAC